GAACCGCAGGGTTTTTTTTTAAAAAAAAAAAAAAAAGCCCCATGGGGTTGTTTATACATGTGTTGCTTTTTTTTTTTTTTTTTTTTTTTTTGGTTTGTTTTTACAATTATTATTGTTTCGGAATTGTTTTGTCATTAAGCTTTAAACAAGAATCATGCCAAACACCTTGACTTGATTTAGAAATCTTGACCTCATCATCCTCAGATCTATTGTTTGAATGTCCTTGTGAGTACAAATCACAAAAGCTTCATTGAAAAACATAGCCCTGCGTGCGTGCGTGCGTGCGTGCGTGCGTGTGTGTGTGTGTGTGTATATATATATAATTTTTTTTTTTCCGGAATTTTCAGAAAAGTCCACTTTCATCTCTGCACCGTTGTGAATTAATTGTCATTATGTTTTCATTCTGAAATTTTAAAAAATCCATAAAATGTCACAAAATGATATTCACGGCGGTGCCTTCATGTGTAACTGCTGATTTTTCGAGCGAAATAATTAATATGATCATCTTGAAAAGGGTTGCAGTGACAAACTGTGACCAACAGACGGCAGCGATCGACTTTTCATGGTAAGAAATAACAGCAATATGGTATTCTTTCATCAGGTTGCAATGACAAACTATGACCAGCAGAAGGCAGTCATCGACTTTTGCCTTACACGTCCAAGTGGAGCTCTCTTCTCAGGTACTGTATTGAGAAATAAAATGGTATTCTTTCAGAAGGTGACATTGACTAAATCTGACGAGCAGAGGGAAGCTATCGGCGCTTGCTGTGCATGGGCAAAGAGAGCTCTCGCATTTCAGAGCAAAGAAGAGCCACACACAATGTGGAAACAGCTGAAGAACGACCGTTGTGAATTGTCACGTTTTTTTGTGTTGAAATTTTTTTTTAAATCCATGAAATGTCACAGAATTGTCTTCACTGCGTGACCATTTTGTCGTATTGCAAATTTTTCGATGGCAGTCAGAAATGTTATTTTGAAGAAGGTTGCAATGACAAACTATGACCAATAGAAGCAATAGACGGACTGATACTGTGCATGTCCCAATGGGGCTCTTCTCGCAAATGAGAGCGAAGAAGATCCAAAAACAAGACGGAAACAGTGGGGAAGAACGACCGTTGTGAATGAATAGCAATGTTTTATCTTTTCAGAAATGGAAAAAAATCCATCAGTTGTCACAAAATTATCTTCGCAAGCTGGGCATTTTGTGTTCCTGATGATTTTTCGAGGGTAATAAATAATATGGTCATCTTTCAAAAGGGCGCAATGAAAAACTGTGACCACAAAAGGGCAGTAATCGACTTTTGCCTTGCACGTACCAGTGGGACCCTTCTCACAATTGAGAGTGATGAAGATCCGAAAACAAGGTGGAAACAGTGGTGGAAAAACGACCGTTGTGAACTAATTGTAACGGTTTTTGTGTTCTGAAATTTAAAAAAATCCACCAAATATCACACAATTATCTGCACAGGGGGGCCATTTTGTGTTCCTGCTGATTTTTC